TACCTACATCAGAGTGGCAAAAGTGCTTCGAAAATTGGTTTGAGCCCATGCGAAAGTGTATAGATCTTAATGTGGAGAATTTTGAAAGGCAGTAAAGCGATTTTCAATGAATATTATTTGTTCTTGTTCTCAAATCCCGAAATATAAAAAGCAGCCTACGTACAATTTGCCATCACATCCCTCTTCTCCCTCAGTATCCCATTTCTGTCGAACTCCTTTGAGTCTCGCATCCTAACTCGTTGTTAATCATCTACATGGAAGTCGTTTCTAACCTCGGATTTGCGAAAGAAACCTCAAATCCACTGGTAGAGCTGGGAAGATTGAGCTTTGAAAACGATCAATGCGGAACTTGTGCCCAAGTGGTACGAGTCAAGCAGCAGATCTCTTCCATTGCTCCAGCTTTAGATGCCAGGATACTTGTGATTATGCTGATCGCTTGTCTATCGATCAGCTTCCTTTCAGCCACAATGCCACCTTTTGATAGTGATAATCGATTATTGATTGTTTTTACAATGATCCATGAATAAAAAAGTCCATTTTCAACAATGAGTTATTTGAAGTTGGTGCTTACACTCACGACCGTGAATGGGTTCCTATTCGAGTATGGAGATGAACTGGGTATATTTTCGATTCTCAGACTGGACTTATCCTATATATTACGCTCTCTGAAGTCATCAGGCTCTTCATATGTACCTGTAGACCTCCCTCTTATTAGCCATTGATATAGTCCATGAGTCCCAGGAACAAAAAGAAAAAGAAAGGCTTCATGGTTGATAAATTGATGGGTTAGAAGGACTGATGTTTTTACTAATGGCCCAACTTGCACCTATACCTCTAGCTTTGGAATACGCGACATATTCCAATAAAATGGCATAGAGGTTGATTATAATTCGAAATGATGTAATGCCAAGTAAATACAGCTTTCGATAGATTTTCGTGCGCCACTTCTTATTGCTTGTTCTCGTAGGAGTTTCCTCAATGTCGCAGAACCGACGCTATGCTCCGACAAATGAAGACGTGAGTGTTCTTATATGTCGAATTCTCGACTCGACTAACCTCACTGTGGGTATAGAGAGCCATGCTGTCGAAAGTGTTGTACACTGGAAGTAAAGCAGTCGGCTGGAAAAGCCGTCTGAAACTATAGAGATATGAGTTATATGAGACCGTTACCACTGCGTTCAAGCACCCAGGCAGAGTCCAGAACGGCTCACAAAGTGTAGCTGTCTCGCCGCGTGCGCGTTAATTAGCTAGTTGTCTTTCCGTGCAGCCGTGCCTTTCAAACCTCGTAAATGTTCACTCAACGAGAAGTACGGTATGACTAATGAGTAATTACGTGAGCCGACTACCCACACACACTTGGCTCCCTGGCTTACCTTTGATTGGTAACCCATAGCACTATGCTCAAATTGGCAATACATAGCTCAGGACTTATATCGAGATGAAAATTTCGTTCCCTATCGGGAATCTGGGAGTTCAAAATTGTCATTTTTGCCAATAAAATTGATCGATGATGTTTTTAGAGCGGAAAAGATGTAGGGCATATTAACGAGCTCATACTGAATCAAATCCACTTGGGCTATGTGCCTAACAACAATGTGACCGTCACTGTGACTATACGAGATGCGGAATGCTTCTGTAAGTCAATCCATTAATACAGCATACAAGGAAATGCCCAGTTGCTATTCAAAAATTCGAAGACGTATGTCCTACCCGGACTACTTTCACAGGGAGCGAGGCGTGCACGATAGAAATTTTGGGGCGCAAATATATAACTCCTGTTCACATAGATCTAGGGCGTTTAAATTTGGTAGAACTACTGGAGGCAGGATGGGAACATGTGTAGTGAGTGGAAGCATCAGACTCCGCCCACAAAGGGCAGGGTTTTTCGCCGAATTCGTCAATTCGGCCCTAGGGCGTCAAAACTTGG